TTTCTCCTCTGTGCTTCTAATCTACATATTAGGTAAGTGGTTAAGTAAGATGGAAGATGTGTAAAAAACCCCAAGGTTAATGGACACAGAAGCAGAATGGACTACATTTTCAAGCTCATGTAAAAGTGACCATGATGGACTTCACAAGAATTTTAAAAACATTTGCTGAGTAAAGAAACTGGGTACTTTCCAAAACAGGTTCAAGGATCATTTGGAGGCATCACAAGTAAGTCTGCTAGATCATGAGTGAATAAGAATGAAAGCAATGTACAGACACCATTTCCAGCCAAGCGAAAAGGAAAAATTTTCTTTAAGTTTGGTAAGAGTCCTTTTGAGCCCTCAGCACGGCAATATTCCTGTCAGAGACACTACTGAGGCCTGCAAAATCTCTGATGAAGAGTGAGAGGTTTATCCAGAACCTCCATGATTAGGAGGGATTTGCAGAGATTCACTGAAATGTCATAGCATCTTTGCTGGACATACTGGCAGGTTGAGGGGCTTAATCAGCAGTTCTTTGAGAGACCCACCTGTACTGTATTATATTTCTCTGTTATAATTTCATCACCAATATTCCATCAGGCTTTGTCAAAAAAAAAAAAAACAACCCCCGAAAAACAAACAAACAAAACCTCCCAAAAAAACACAAGGAAAAAGCAAACAAAGAAAAAAATTAAACCAAGAAAAAAAAAGCAGGAAAAGTGAGCATGTGTTTTTTTGTTGAGTGACTTTTTTGTTTGTTTGGTTTGTTTTGCCTGGGTTTTTTTTAGATCTACATGTTTTAAATAAGAGATGCATTTCTGTTATGCATTATCTCCAGGTTTTCGGAATAAATTGTGAACTGGTTTCAGTCAGCCTTCTGAACCCTCTCCTCTTTCACTAGCTTTCCCACTTGTCACCCAGGGACTTTGAGTAGATCTTATGAGGTTTTTCTATTTAATAGCACAGGCATGATATCTGATACAAGGATAATGAAGTACTGTGCCTCCAACTTGTGCTGGCTGCAGAGGGATTGCTTACCTGTCATGGCACTGTTCCTTCAGAGAATATATCCTAGAACCTAATGATCTTCAATTCAATCTTAAGAGAAGCTTAAATAACAGTTCTGCTGAGGCAACCTTCCTCATGGATGATTATAATTTTAGTCTGAGTACTCATATGAGTATTTTATCTAAAGTGCCTGAAGAAAACATAGTCAGATAACACTTGTTTTGTTAGGGTTGACTGGTGTGAGGAGCTTCGGACAGCTTCCAGCAATGGTGGTGCAATGCAAAGAGGAAAAGTGACTTACTGAAATCTATCATTTTGGTCTTCCTGTTCTAGCTAGCCTATAACTTCTGCAAATGTAAATTGGCATAGGTCAGCTGATGGAATGTGCATGTGGCAGGAGCTAGTCCTTAGTTTTGCCACCTTTTAATGGCACCAGACACTCTTCTGACCCATTTACAGCCTACTCTGAAGAAACACTTTGAGTTGCATCATGCCCAAAGTGGTAACTAAATAATGCTGGTTGCAGTAGATAAGCTCAGGCCTGAGCATGTGTGTCTGTGCAGTGGCTACCCCAGTATAATTATGCCTCAGTATTCAGACTGTTTGCTACAAATAGACTGTAATATATTGGTTTAATAATGCATTCTGTAACTGCAATGGTTTCAGAATATCATCAAATTTTATCTCTGCTCCTTAATTATAATAAAATGTAAATTGTAATAAAATGTGGGGTTCCTCTACCTGAGAGAAAAGTACCTAAATTTTCAACACATATCGAAGCCATACTACTGCTGGAAATAACTGCTTGTGGTAGCTGCCTTTCTATGCCTCTAGATGGAGATCCTACCCATTTAACTCAACCTTCCAGACAACCGTGTGATGCTTCAATAAGAGCTCCATTTTGCTTTTCATAGTTCATAGACCAAAAAATAGTTTGTTCTCTGATTTCTCAGTTATAAAATTCTTTTGATCTCAGTAACTAGATTCTCAGACCCCTCTGACTTCACAGCTTACCTGGAAAAAAAAAAAAAGGAAAAAAGAATGCTATTCCTTTCTAGCTTTCCACAGCAAAAATGTCCTGCACTATTTACTTTGCCTGAACCATAGTCATAAAACCCTCTGTCTTTTCAATTGCCATTCTGAAAATTCCCTTCAGCACATAAGCACCGCACACAGCTATGCATTGAGGTGCTCATAATTGCAGGTGAAGGAATGATATGGACTATTGCAGTCAGTCATTTTTACCATATGGGGGACCTTATCATAAGCTTCCACCAGAGTGCAGAGGAAAGCCTTGCCATAACTTCACCACAAGACCTGGCTATTTGCTTGATATTTTGGGACCAAGGGTTCTTCATATACATTCCTAGCAACCCTAGCAAGAGTAAGGAGAAACATGAGCAAAAGTACCTATCATCTCCTCTAATACAGGAGATAAAAATCCCTTTTTGTGGATCAAAACCAGTTAGATAAAAACATGCCTAGTAAGCATATTTTTCAGGTTTGCCGAGTGCATTAAGATGCAGAATTTAGCTTAGTGTCAGCTACCCAAAGACAGGATGCAAATTCCTACTTGATTACACAAGTCCTGAAAAACAAAGACATATCTGCAGCTAAAACTACACTTACAGAAAGAGAATTAAGCGCCCTAGTACCACTGGGTGACTATCTGCATAACAATAGTAATAGTAACAACAGTACCAATATAATAGAAATACATAATACCTTTGAGGGAAAATTGTTTTTTTGTTTGTTTGTTTTTATTCCCAAAACTAGAGAGATTACTGAGGAGGGTTTGTTTGGTTGTTTTGCTTTGTTTTGTTTTGTTTTGTTTTTTTCCTATACTGCCCATACTTTTCCTTGTGCGACTTTGAATACAAACCAGTTGGGCTCATGAAACTATATTTACCGGTTTTAGGCTACAAGAACATGAGTAAGATGTAGTTAATAGCTGTACAAATCCTCAGACCCTAACAATAGCATTGAGACAGCAATGCTGATGCCAGTGCTGCTACCTACTCATGTAGAGTTCTCTGCTGCTTTTGGGGTTATATTTTTATTTTTGCTTGATTTCAATTGTTGTTAGTGCATAGTGTTAGTTAACTTTTATTACTGCTCTACAACTCTGATCCACTTTGTCAAGATAGGTGCAGAAGTTTTATACTTTGCCTTTAGGTCCTTCACAATGAGATGGAGGAAAGTAGATCTAGACAGGACCACAGAATATCTTTCTTTGTAGGACGTGTGTTGATTAAGAAAAACAAAAATGCATGGAAATAGGAAGAATGGACAACACCAAGGCAGTGACACTCTGCAAAGGTGTTTCTAGTTTTAAATGGAATGCAGAAGATAACTCCTGGGGTGAAGATTTTAGTCTTGTGGCATTAGGGAATTTTCTGAAATTTGTTTTTTATCAAAAGCCCGAACTAGATCTATAATGTCTCTTAAAGTCTGTAATAAATTCTGACGGATGTGCCTTGTGTATCTGTCATGGGCTTAGGGCTTTTGTTCCTCTCTGTTTTCTTTTTTTCCACTTAAATGGTGCCAGGAAGGAATTTTAGAATCAAAGCCAGTGCTGTTAAGGAGCAAAATCAGTTCAGAAAAAAAAAAAAAAAAAAAAGAAGAGAAATTATTGCTACAGCAAAAATCAAATCCATTTTACACAGGTTTGGACTGAAGAGGAACTGGATCAAAGAGGAGAAGTTTAAAAGGTATATTTTGCTTTTCTTTGAGAGTTGAATGCTGAAAAGTGCTCAGAGTAGCAATGCACATAGGTTCCTGGGTAATTCCATTTAAATCAAATGCTACTTTCAGGTACAGATCGTTTGTTACCTCTTTCATGTCCTGACCTTTATATGGTTTCAGAGGATTCAAAGAAGTCATTAAATCCTGACCATATTTAACTTGGAAATATGCACAATACAGAAGAAGGATTTGTCTAACAAACTTTGACAGGCACGGTATATCAGCCATTTTTTTCAATATGCACAACATTTTTATCGTCTGTTTTGTGACAGATGTTGGAGATGTATCCAAGTTACAATGCTTGTTACAAGATTCATTTGCACTAAAGGGATGGAGTCTTGTCAAGACAAGTGGAAAGCACAATCAGAAGGATATAATATCTAAGTACCTCCTGTCTCTTCTCCTTGCCCTCCTGTTTCTGCAGGCCTCCTCAGGGTCTGCAATGGAATAAGAGGAATACACTCAACAGCATCATTTTGCTTCTTTATACTCACTGTGGTTCCCTTTTACAATGAACCAGCTTACAGACTTCACCCATTAGACTTCTGTTTTGCTGTTCCAAGCAACTGCTAGGGAGGTAAATGAGGAAAAAGGCTGTGGCTGCCAGCATGCTCTGTGAAGGTTTATTCCAGCCTGTGACAGCCTGGACTGTGTTACTCCTTATGAGTGGTAATGGGGGTCCAGGTTAATCCACTCATGCCCAGCTTCTACCTGTCTACCACTCACTGTAAAAGGACCTTACATCTTCCCCAACCCCATGTCTAGTTGAGAGAAAGGAGGTGAATTACTTTCAGCACTGAATTCTTTAGAGGGGAGAAACTATTGCACTGGAAATGTTTCCCAACTACATATTGAATATCAAACAATGAATTATGTTATATGTGGATTTTTTGGCTTTGGCCATTTTTCATACAGCGATTATTGTGTTTGCATTCCATAAAGTCATGTGTACTTTAAAATATATTTCAAAAAATGAACTTGTTTGGTTTTGAGGTCACAGGAGAAATTTCTTGCCTTTTCTGGGTATTCTCTGTTTAGCAAAAAAGCACTTAGTATAGAAGGATAAATTACGGCAGCCCACAGGAGTCAGTGCCATATTGTGCAACTCACACAAACACCCATGGGCTTGCAGAGGAGAGTTCTGTTTGTTCAAGAATAAGATCTGGTACTTCTCATAGCGGGAGGTCATATTACCTTAAAATGCCTCCACTCTGTAGGTCTGCCTGATGTTCCCATAACAATTGCCCATCTGACAACTGCCCATCTGTTCCAATAACAGCTGCCTCTCTAGTAGGAGAGATGGGCTCCATGGCATGACAATAGCAAAAGTAGTCCACAGACAGCCCTATATCAAGCGAGCAAGCGGCCACAGCAAGTAACAAAAGACCCCACTACAGACCTGATTCAAACCCTACTGGAAACATCAAGAAAGAGTCTTGCAGATTTCAGGGTATCTTAGGTTAGAAAGCATCATAACCCTGTCTCTGCTCCTATAATGGTAGTACTGTCAGCAGTGATGATCTATGTTGTCTGAAATCAAAGATTTCTCCAGCCCTATACCTTCTCAGCAACAAACAACAAACCATGGTTCACTTTATAATCATATTAATGCAAACAAATGGAGAAAGTGAAAGCAGGTAGGTTTCTCCATACTTAAAGAAAAGATGTAACTGTAACTGTAATTTGCAGTCTCAGTCTACCAGCCTTCTCATGGCAGGAAAGTTTTGTGCAAAGAGAGATCACTGGGAAAGGGACTCCTCTGCTTTGCTTCCATTCAAAAGAAGACAGTGAAATCCTGTTCCACACAGGGAAAACCTATTCCTAACAGGTAAAATAAACTTTTAGTTTTCATCCAGCTCTTTTCATCTCAGGTAATAAAATCAAGGGAATTTATACTGAATTACCAATATTTCCACTGGAAGTGGGTAAAAAAATCAGCTGAAAAGACACAGGAATAAATTTTGCTGGGAGAGAGTAATTTGGTTTCACAAGTATCAAAGTTTTAAAATTCATTTTAGTTTTTCAAGGGAATGAAAACAAAACCTCTGAACATTTTGTCAAAATGAAATTGTAGGGAAACACTTCTTACCATAAAGCACAATTTTTTCAGCTCTGATCCTCTCTCTTCCTTTCCTGCTTACCCTCTCACTCTCTGTCACCAGAGGTAGCTGCAGAGCCCTGGATCACAAACTTTTCAGAAGAAATTGCTTTGAAATCAGTACATCTCAGTGAATAAAATCTGTCAGGAGTGTTCATAAACAATTGTGCTTGGGAAAAGTTCTTAACTTGTCCCAAAAAACTGATATCTTACACATAAACAGGTAGTCAGCTGCTCAGCTGTGAGGTTTTAGGTCAAAAGCACGCAATGAATTGCTGAACTGACAGTCCTATATATTAAAGATGTCTGAGCTATTCTCCTGTATATTTTTTTCATGGAGTATAAATTCTGTTATATACCATTCAGCCTTTTCTTCCTATACAAATCACATATGTAATTAAAGCATTCATCCCCACAGTTTTGCTCTTTTGAATGTGATCCCAGGGATTTTAAGGATGTACCTGAAAATAGACAGTAGGAAAAAAAATTCAGTCTAGCCTTTATTTATTTCTGTGAGCAAACAAATCTTGGCCAATTTTAAAAGTAAAGGCAAATGCATGAGCCCCACTTTCTGCCAGTTGTATTTCTTTAAGTATATTTATATTTAAGTATATATATACAAGATTACAGAGTTGCCTCAGACAGAAAACCTTTACCCTGGTATAGCATTTTGAGTTTCCTGTGGAGACAAACTTGCTTATTTTTCCTTAGAGGTTAGAAGGGTATTTGCTGTTGTGCTGACATTTTGCATCATCTTCTTCCTTTTTCATCTGTAGGAAAATATGCAGTGCTGAAATAACAGTGAAAATACATTGCTCCATTTCAGTGACATGAATTGTATATGCCTGTGCATCAGCAGGTTAGTTCCAGGGGCCAGAGGAGGATTCCTTAATCCCTGATATATAGAGGAGCCAAACACAATGGATTTTTTTCTTTCTTTGATTGTGTCACCACTTTTAAAAATCTCTGTCCCAAAGAAGTTATGCCTTATGTGTGGGGGAAAAAGAGAACATTCCAATTAGAAACAACCTAACTTCTCTGTCACATCTGGCCTTCATGCCTCAATAATCCCCTGAGCAGAGCTCATAAATAATGAGTGCTCAGAGACTGGCTGTACAATTCCAGTACATTCTATTGAATTCCAGGGGATGCACAAAAGGATAGCACGTATCCTGAAGGCAAAAGCATGTGCTGTTTTCTTGGTCTTCTTTCAAATATATATTGCTAGAAGTTTAATCGCTCTTCATTGAGTCCTGATGGTAGGCTATACAGGGCACAAAAAAAATTGCTGTGCATAAACAGAACTGATTTGTAGCTGTTTCTTTATCATTACCATGCTATCTATGTCAGAGCTTCTGTTGTAGCTTTATGTGATACAGTTAAAATATACTGTGATTTGAAAAAATATTGAAAAGTACAAGCAAGCAACCATCAAGAGACAAACTCATCATGTTAAAAAAACCCAAACAACATCCCTTTTTTTCAGGTACAAATAGTCTAAAAGATGCAAAAAATAACCTTAATCTCACTTACATGAAAAAGAATAGGCACATGCTCAACTGAGGTGAATTTATTAATTCAATGGACTTCAACAGACCTATCCTTTTCTTGTTCATTGGCAGTTTAGTTTCATGCAGTGCCAAAATCTTTGCAACTGTTGAAAAAGAAAAGTAACTAGATTGTAAGAAAATGAGCGGGAGACATTACACAATCTTGTTCTAGCAACCTCAGAGAAGCATACTCAGGTGGAACATGAAAGAAAGATGGAAAAGTAAGCCACCTTCACATGATGTCTCCTGGTAAATCACATTTTCACCTCAGGTTATAAACATGGCACACCCTCAGGACTGGACTTTCTTACTTGGAATAGGGTTTGAAATGGTCAAAGAGGTAGAAAAGAAAACAATATACATGTCTGGTTCCAAAATTTTCAAGTCTATGTTAGTTTTATAAGAGGACATAGAGAAAAATGCAGCTGAGAACTTAAGAATCTAGACCTGTGTTCAAATACTGTATCTTTGTCACATATTTAGAGGTACCCTCTTGGTATGTTGTTCCTAAAGGGATATTATATGTTGCAAGCTGCTTTCATTAACCAAAGTTGACTGGTCTTTCTGAACACATCTTCTACCTCTAAACTCTTTCCAGGTAGTTTTTCAGGGATCCATTTCCTAAAGGCAGAGGGACTAATTCCATGATGGTATCTGTTTTGTTTTCTTTCCTCTGCAGGCTTAAGTGATAACTGGGTAACTTGTTAGCAGAACAGAAATGAATAACTCAACGTACATAAACTCTTCCACTGAAAATGTGATGGCTTTGGAGAGCCCCTATAAAACTGTAGAGGTGGTCTTTATTGTCCTGGTAGCAGGGTCTCTCAGCCTAGTCACCATAATTGGGAACATCCTGGTCATGGTGTCAATCAAAGTCAACAGGCACCTACAGACTGTCAATAACTATTTCCTGTTCAGCTTGGCCTGCGCTGACTTGATCATCGGCATCTTTTCAATGAACCTATACACTCTCTACACTGTGATAGGGTACTGGCCTTTGGGGCCTGTTGTGTGTGACCTCTGGCTGGCTCTTGACTATGTGGTCAGCAACGCCTCTGTAATGAACCTCCTCATTATCAGCTTTGACAGATACTTTTGTGTCACCAAGCCTCTGACCTACCCTGTGAAGCGAACCACTAAGATGGCAGGCATGATGATCGCAGCTGCGTGGGTGCTGTCCTTCATCCTGTGGGCCCCTGCAATTCTCTTCTGGCAGTTCATTGTGGGAGGAAGGACTGTCCCAGATGGGGATTGTTACATTCAGTTTTTCTCCAATGCTGCTGTCACTTTTGGTACTGCCATTGCAGCCTTCTATTTGCCTGTTATCATCATGACTGTCCTTTATTGGCAAATCTCTCAAGCCAGTAAGAGTCGAATAAAGAAAGGAAAAAAGGAAACTGCTCAAAACCAAGATACAGTTTCCCCCAGCCTTGTCCAAAGTAAAACAGTGAAACCAAACAATAACAACATCCCAGCCAGTGGTGATGGGTTGGAACACAGCAAAATTCAGAATGGAAAAGCCACTGGAGAGACTGTGACGGAGAACTGTGTTCAAGGGGAGGAGAAGGAGAGCTCCAACGACTCCACCTCTGTCAGTGTGGTCGCTTCCAACATGAAAGAAGATGAAGCTGCCAAAGATTCCAGCCAGACTTCTGCCTCCCAAGACCATCTCAAAGTGGGAAACTCCAAGCTGACATGCATCAGGATAGTCACCAAGTCTCAAAAGGGTGATTGCTGTGCTCCCACCAACACTACTGTGGAGATTGTAGGCACCACTGGGGAGGAGAAGCAGAATAGTGTAGCCCGGAAAATCGTCAAGATGACAAAGCAGCCAGCCAAAAAGAAACCACCTCCTTCTAGAGAGAAAAAAGTGACAAGGACGATTTTGGCCATCCTCCTGGCCTTCATCATCACCTGGACCCCATACAATGTGATGGTGCTCATCAACAGCTTCTGCACATCCTGCATCCCTGGTACTGTATGGACCATAGGTTATTGGCTCTGTTATATCAACAGCACCATCAACCCTGCTTGTTATGCTCTCTGCAATGCTACCTTCAAGAAGACCTTTAAGCACCTTCTTATGTGTCATTACAAGAACATAGGAGCTACAAGGTAAAAATAGTAATAAAAGTAATAATGGAAAGGGTGACGAAGTTCCATATTAAATTAAAAAAAACCCAACTAGATAAATGCCATAGCACTTTATGCTCTTCTACAGAATGTGCAATCCAGGATATTAGTGGAAATACTGACATAGAGCATCAGCTCCACTCCTGAGAACTACATTTAGAAACATTTTTTTAAATTATTGAAAACAAATCTTGTGGACATGGAGATGTTTGAGGAATTATTCAAGGATATGGACTGGAGGCACAGTTCCTTGCTTTCTACAACTATTCTGCAGAAGGGCTTTAGAGTCTATGATTTTTGGTCCTTCTGTGCAAAATCCTTGTTCTTCTCTTCCTTTCTTTTTTCTTTTTTCTTTTTATTTCCCAGATGAAAACATACTAAACAGACACAGGGGAAGAAGCATGGGAGTTCGGAAGATCATTACGTATTTGAAATGAATCATGGTAGAAGGTTTCTAAAGCTCAAAGTTGTCTAGAGCTTTTTTGCCATTGTCATGTAAGAACTTTTATGTTAGGTAAATCCTGATGAGAGTTATTTTATGTTGTTTATGACACTACCATTTCCAAAACTGCATCAGTTCTGAAAGTGTACTTATGCTCAATGTGTAATCATTGCTTAACCTGCTTAACCTATTCAAAGTCTGTTTCTTGCCGCAGTTTAAGGAGTTTTTGTTCCTCGATTCCTTCATCCCTTCAAGATAAAAATATAAAGTCAGTCTTTTCCAGATTGCTACATCCCAAGACTATTTCAGCATCTATGTAAACCAAAGCTTTTGAGACAATTTTGTTCACTTTGTTTGTCATGTAACATCCACCAGTGGATCTGTCTCTTACTTCCATTAGCTTTTTTTGCTTTTTGTACCTTACTTGTCCAGGGCATACAAACCAAATATCAAAAGAAGCCCTAAATTCAAAGATCTCATCCAGTCAGCCACCATAGTGGCCAAACAAAGGGCCTCAGCTGAAGAAGAGAAGCAAGGGCTTTACTAGAAAAATGGATGTTATATCCTTTTAAAGATGGATGTGCAGATGGAGAGGTGTAATGAGGCTCCACAGAAGTAATACTATTAGATGGTCATGCTCTTGACCAGTCAAAAAAGGATTCACACTCATTTATTGAGGAAAAGAATAAATGGATTGATGTGCCCATACGTATAAAGCTCTGACTAAGCCATTAGTGTGAACCCAGAGTCCTTCCTGGGTGTATCCTGGACAACGTGTTTACTTTGTGGAAAAGATTTTGGCTACATCCCCTTTTGCAGCAGCTGGGAGCAACATTTTGACTGTAAGCCAAGGGATAATGCTAATAAAAAGGCAGAGAGGAAAACAGTGATTACACAAAACCAGATACTGAAATAGTCTGGTTGGGGGGCTGGCAAAGATCAAGTTCAAATACTATCTGCTACTTCACTTCAGCTCAAATTCCAATTCTTTCTGCCTGGCAAATATTTTACTATTTCAATATTTGATATTTAATGTAGCACAACTGAGCACTGTGTGGACAGGACAAAGGTTATCAGATTGCTGAAAACAGCAATTGGCTGAGTTACGCATATTCTAGTTACCTCCTTCTTAGTAACCCTAACTTCAAGACACTATGAAGGTACAGCTACAGATTTTGTTATCCCAAAAAGTAGCTTGCTGCACAAACAATGTCCTGAGGGACTGTCTTCTGGACTGAAAGCCACCTAACAAATTATTCTGTTGTTTCATGTTGCCACATTAGAGTCTTCCAAAATGCACTTCAAAATATCTGGCCTTCAAGATTACAGGGAAATTAATCTTGCTGACTTAAAATTTACATTTGACAAGCTTATTGGAATACAGTGTCAAAGCACTTTGGCAATCTGACAATTTTCATGTTTCAAAGTACAAGTTCCTAGCAGAAAGTGAAAATGAGGAGGATTAAAGTGCAGTCAATTAAGGCTACATTAAACTCAGGATGTGTCTTAATATGCATTCATTGATTTTATACCCCTAGTGATTTCATCCTAATATATCTAAGTGTCTCCATGCAGCCAAGGATCTAATTTCACAACCCTCACTTGCCTTGAGTCATATTTACTATCACTATTTTCATCTTCCTGCTTGTAAGAAAGAATAACTCAGTGATAAGGCTTGCAAAACTGAGTGTTGCTTGTCTTTCAAAACTACATTCACTAGACTTATCTTGACAGGTCAAGGGAAAAATTTACATGATCACTTCTAGATGATTCATTCTCTTACAATGTTAAGTAATCCAGACAAAAACCAAAGATACGATGAAATCTGTTAATTTTCTAAATCTTACTCCTTTAGAGAAGTCTCATAAAAGAAACACACCTGTTTCTTTCTTTCAGCAAGTACTGTGGGTATAAATAGTACAGGTACTCAAATTGGTAAATAATGGGTTTTATATTGTTATTTAATCTTTTAACTTCAGTTTTTTAACAGGCGTGAAAATCCTGTATTTTGACATTTGAAGCTGTCACTTGTTTATAAATTATTAATTCCTCTACCAGCTAAAGACACTTCTATAGGTTAAGATGTGCAAGATGTAGATTACGATTATACTTTTTCATCATGTGATGTGAGGACATTCAAAATACTATACAGAAAACCAGATATTTTGGGGCCTGCATTCATGAAGCAAACAAACAAACAACAATAACAAAATTAAAAAAGAAAAACCTTCAGTTTGAAGCTTCCTAACACTCTTCCCTAGCACCACCCCACTTTTGATCCTAAAGGACAAGATGTTTTGGTTTGTGTTATGCTATATTTAAAAGGTTTGCAGGGCACACAATCCTGTGTGTTTCCACCTTGTACCAGCTCAAGGAAAAGAATGTTTCTGTGGTATATCCACATTCACAGCCAGTTGAGCGATGTAAAAATGGATGTCATAATGCACCTACACATGTATGCACTGACATGAAAACACACACCCCTGCATGGTTTATATACACGGAAAATAATTATCTATCATTCAAGATATTGCATGGGATGTTGTCTGTGTTGTGCTCATTGGCAGCTGGTGGGAGGTGCAGAGCCAAATCATGACACTGTCTACCTCCTACAGGAGGCAGAGAGGAGGCAGAGCCTCCCTTGAGGTCTCTGGGAATCAATCAGGTCCTAAGGTAGTTTTGTCTCAGTAAGACAAAATCTTTCAGAGCCACAAAATAATTTATTCTTCCGAACGCCTTTTGAATTCTCATGTCTTTCCTTTGTGTCCCAAACCACATTTGCTGGGTTTCACTTTCCTTCTGAGTGATAGTTCTGCAAGATCTAGATATTGGTCTTGAAGAGCAGCGCCCCCTGGATACCTCCTTTGGCTTCCCCACCTGTCACCCGGGCCCTGACACCCCAAAGACCCCAGGTGGCCCTGCTGATGCTGCTACCTCTTCACCTTGGGCTTGGCCAGAGGGTTGCAGCAGCATGTCCACACCATGTGCTGCCCTTGCCACTTTTGTTTCACATAGCAATTGAGAAAATTGGAGGTGACTCGTGAGAAAAAAAAACAACAAAACAACAAACTGCAGCTAGCACTTCTGCCCCTCTCCTTTTCTTCCTCTTAATTATTTCCAGAAACAGGCTAAAACAGAAAAGGCCCAACCAGCCCTTGACAGCAACCCTGCTGCAGCAGGATCTGTCACGTCGGCAGCCCATGGGGTGTGATTTGTGCTGTCACAGGCCAGCCCTACCTTCACTCTCCAGGGGGAGAACAACAGCCTGAAGATATGTCAATCCAACTGGCACCTTTTCTGAGTATTAAAGACATCTGCAGTAAAAAACAGAAAACAAAAGGAAGAATGAAAGAAAGAAAAAGCTGCATTGATGTCAAGAAATCTGTTTTCCAGTAAGGACAGAACCTAAGAAAACATTCTGTCAGCCTCCTTTCTTCTTGGGATTTTCATTTGATTAACTAGGAATCATGATGATCTGCTCAGAGATAGCATAGTATTTGAACATTGCCTGATGAAAACACATCTGTATAGGTCAGATTGCTTTGTCTTTCTTTTTTGTCTCACAAATGCTCACGGGGACAGGAGTGCTCAGATGGACATCAGGGACCAGGTTTTGGCATCCACACAGCAAGAAGAGAAAAGCAAGTGTTAAACCTATCATCTCTTTGTTTTATATTTTTCTGGAGTAGAAAAACATATTGATAAGAGGTGTTGCCTTCAGTGCGCATGGCCGTGCTGAGAACAGCCCACACACAGGTGAGGAAACCCTGGATATCCCAGAAGGGAAGAGGCAGGAGGCCATGGGCAATTTTTTGTTTGACTGCTTTTGATCCCCGTTCTTCATTCCTATGGATTGCCCCAGTGCTGCCTGAAGATGCAGCTCCTGATTTTTCCTGTGGTGTTGAGGTGGCCCACTTAGAATTTTTTACTTTGAATGGCAGCACCTCTCCTTGCCACTTTTGCTACCAAAAGTCATCCTGGTACTGGCCTTTAAGTACCACACAGGTAAATGCAGCATTATCACAGCCATCATACTGCAAAACTGGCATAATGGAGCTGGGGATGAAGGAAGAATGCTGCGGGTATTTGTTTTCCCTCCCTCTCCTGACATTGGTTCCTAAATATCTTTGGGTTTTGACAAATCAGGGTGCTGCTTGTGAGAAGCTACAGTTTTAGGAAACAAAGAGAAGGGAAAGAAACTCTGGTCCCATGTGGGGGATGTTTGCTGACAGTTAGTGGGCTTAGAATCTAGTATCTTTGATATTTGTAAGGATCCACTCCTAGATGGCTCTGTACTCTCAGTTGGCAGTAGTGCAGGTGGTAGAAATTGAGAAGCTAAAAAGAAGCTTTTTTTCACTCTGGGTCTACAGATGTTTCATATAACATGTCTGGACGCACCTGCTTGCGATATGATTCCTATGCATTATTGCTTTCGTTGTTCTTGTATATCATGAAAAGCACTAAACTTTTAAGAAACATTTTTTACATTTTTTTTTTCTTATTATTTTTAAAAAATCTTTCCCTGAAGGAATATGAGGGATGGTCCTTAATTTGCTGTGGTTTCTTTTCTTCTTTCTCTGCCTGCCTTTCCTCTTTTGTCCCAGTATTGACAAAAAGCTTTCTACCTGCCCTTCTTTAAGAAGCCTGCCATGCAGCTGCATGGTGTGAAGTTTCTCTTCCATTTCAGGCACTGTGAATGCTGGTATCCAAACTCTTTAACCCACCATAATTCTGCCCTCCCTAGCATGCAAATCCCCCTTCACTGAAGCCCAAACTACTGTGTGGAGTGAGATGTTTCTTAAAACCTTTCTGCATGGGCTTTAAATTGGATGTAAAATAAAACCCCAACCCTTGTGTGAAACAAAGCCAAATCAATTCTCTTCTTTCCCAGTGTT